TCCTCTCTACTAAAAGGGAAAAATCGGTGCATAAAAAATACAAAAATAATTTATTTCTCTTAACTTTAAACTCAAACTGATTGCTTAAATGTTTTAGCTAGACGAGCTTTTGGCTCGTTTTTGCTGTAATTTAAGTTTCCTGCTTACCTCAAGGCCTTTTTGATCATTAGGTGAATACTGTGGTGATAATGATTTGTCTGTTAGCAAAATATATCATAAACCAGTGGATGGATTTCAACTGAACTTTCAGAAAGTAATCTTTGGTTGTTCATCTACGCCCGATCATTTCTGGAGCCGTTACTTCTCAGCTGATGGTTCTTCAGGCATCCAAGCACAAAGTTTGGAGTCCTGGTAAGTTTGGTTCTGATGGGATGCTGGTTCAAGCGCTCTCTCTCTCTCTCACACACACACACCTGTTTGTCTTTTTATCTTTACGGGGACTTTGCATTGACTTCCATTCATTTCTATAGCCTAACCCTAACCCTTACCCTAAACCTAACCATTACCAGTACATACCTAACACATCTTCAATTCATACCTTAGTCCTAAACCTAACCCCTAACCTTGAACCTTGTGGGGACCGGGCTTTTGTCCCCACAAAGAGCAGTTGGTCCTCATAATGTATATGTTGAAAAATGGGCCTCATAAAGTAACATAAACAAGCACACACACATGTTCTTGTAAATGTACTTTTTGGGGACTTTGCATTGACATCAACAAAGTCCATGCACAATAATCCAGGTATACAATCCAACATTTTTCAGTCAGGTCATCTGGACAGTTTCTTTTTTTTTTTTTTTTTTTTGTGCTGAAACATTTCACCTTCGATCCAGAAGGCTTCATCAGTCAAGGAAACACACAACACAAAACTGATTCTTCCCCCAACACCTTACTCCAAACTGGAACAGTTATAAGGTTTGTTCCACTTTAGAGTCAGCTGTTGGGGGAAGAATCAGTTTTGTATTGTGTGTTCCCTTGACTGATGAAGCCTTCTGGATCGAAGGTGAAATGTTTCAGCACAAAAGAAAAGAAACTGTCCAGATGACCTGACCCTTTTTCCTAAATTTAACCATTACTGGTAGTTACCTAGTACTAGTAATGGTAAACTATTACTAGGCAACTACTAGTAAACCTGACCCCTAACCCCCCGGCGAGACTCCTCCTTATGGAGACCTGGTTTTGGTCCCCACAAGAAGCAGTTGGTCCCCACAATGTAGGATTTTTTTTAAATAAAACTGGTCCCCACAGTGTAACCTGAAACAAACACACACACACAATCGACTTGGCGGGTTGTCAGCCTCGTCCTGCCGTTGGCCAGTATGGAGCCTTTGCTCCTGGACGTTTCTTCAGCTCGTCCCGTCTGTTTCCACAGTCGTGGTCCTGCCGGTCCAGAATGTGGACTCAGAAGTCCAGCACGTTGTTTAGAACAGGAGGTTCAATGTGAGCCCTGATTTGTGGGCGAACACGAACAGTATGAGCTGGACTCGTTTTCTCCGTCTCATCTCGAAGCTCGTGGTCATTTCCTGTTTGGAACAGCTTTAGTGAAACACTGTAACGTGTGAAAGCTGATTCAGGATTCATTTTGTTGATTTATGCTTTGATTTTTCATGTTTTTCGCATTTTGCCTACTACTTTGTGCCACTTTAGCTGTTCAAATATCACAATGTTCAGCTCATTCAGGAGGCGAGAACTGTTTTTCTCATTTTTAAATCCTTTTGTAAAATACTTTAAAACCTTTTTTAAACCCTTTGATACTTGTAGCTTCTAGCAAGCCTTTTGCTAACTTGATCTTTTAGCTGGCGTTTTGTTACGTTCTGCTTTTAGTTAGCCTCTTGCTACTTTTCACTTCTAGCAGGCCATTTAATACTTTTTACGTGCGTTTAGTTTATTTTGCAACAACTACTTTTAGCTACCCTTTCAATACTTTCAGCTTGCCCTTGGTACTTTTGACTTTTAGCCAACTGTTTTATTAATCATAGCTTAACTGACATTAACGCTTAGTTAACTTTTCACTACTTTTAGCAAGTCATTAGATATGTTTTAAGTTGCTTTTTCCAATATGAGCAGTTTTTACTGCTACTACTTTTAACTTGTTTTATCCATCCATCCATCCATCTCCAGTCACCAATCAATCTAACATGCATGTCTTTGGTCTGTGGGAGGAAACTGGAGTACCTGGAGGAAACTCACGCATGCACGGAGAGAACATGCAAACTCCACCCAGAAAGGTACCCGGCCAGGATTTGATCAGACAACCTCCTCACTAAGACGGCAGCTCTGCCAACTGAGCCACCGTGCTGCCTTACTAGCATTCGGCTATTTTTAATAACTTTCTGATACATTTAGCTACCTTTTACACAATAACAGTTAGCAATTTGGAAATTTTCAATTTTAGCTGACATTTTGTTATTTTTAGTTTCTAGCATCCTTTCAATACTTTTAAGCTAACTTTTCAATATGTTTAGCTAGCCTTGCCATAT